AGTGGGAGAGGGAGAAGCAGGCTTCCCGTGGAGCAGGGAGCCCGATGCGGGGCTCGATCCCAGGACCCTGAGATCATGACCTGAGCTGAAGGCAGTCGCTGAACGACTGAGCCACCCAGGCGCCTCTATGCAGGTTCTTTAACACTTACTATTACTGTAATTTAAAAAATCTGCTTAATATCCTCTAACAGTAGTGTCAGTGCTTTGGGAAATTCCTGTGAAAATGAAAACTTGGGGATAGAAGTTATAAATGATAAGACACCATGATGAGATGAAAGTCAAACAAGGACTCATTTTGCCAGGCTGTTAGTCAAGGAGAGAGCATTGGAAGATTAGAGATAATAAAAAGCAGCACTAAAATGGGTACACCTTTTAAGTCCACAAAATCCCGCACAAGGAAAACAGGGTTTTAAAAAAAAAAAAGGAAAAATATAAAAGAAAAATATATTGGAGACATAGCTGCAAAATCAATGCCACCATATTTGCTTCTAAGCTACAATGATTTTAAGATTTATGCCTTCTGGGCACCTCCCCACCTGAATTAGCTTACATTTTTTTAAATGGGAAAAATGAGTGGTGAGATATGCAGATTTTGAACTATGCAAGGTCCTTAGGAACATATCTATGAAGCAAAGCTCTATATTTATGTACTTTAGATTCAGAGTCCATTTAACCAGAATGATAAAAGCAAGGACAAAAAAACCCCTAATATGTAGCAAGGAACTCTGCCAGTAAGTCCACAGAATTTAAAATACTCTGTTTAATCAAAGCGGTTTTTGGGGCGCCTTGGTGGCTCAGTCAATTGGGTGTCCTACTCTTCGTTTAGGCTCAGGTCATGATCTCAGGATCGTGAAACTGAGCCCTGTGTCGGGCTCCACACTCAGTGCAGAGTCTGCTTGAGATTCTCTCCCTTTGCCCCTCCCTACCCTCACATGCGCACACACTCTCTCTCTTTTTTTCTAAAATAAATAAATAAGTTAAAAAAAAAGAGGTTTCCAATTACTCCATACTTATAAAAGAAGGCGGATTAACAGTATTTCTTGGTTTGTACCCTCTAAATCTTAGGAAAGCCAGAAGAACTCAATGGGAGCCTCAGAAATATTATATAAAAAAATAATAATAATTTAGAATCATATATATTTTTAATCCTGAATAAAGAGTTGAGTTACATTTAAAGGATTTTGAAAAGAAACCAAATGTAAGCTAAATTCATTTAAAATACGGAATCCAAAAAATAAAAAAGAAATTAAAAAGGGAACCCACAAGTAATGTCTCTCTGAAACAATCTCACTTTTCTGTAAAGAGTGAGAAAAGTCTATACTAAAAGTACATACCTGAGAGGCAGACTTTTACCAATACTTATAGAAGCCTCTGGAATTAATTTTTTCCATTTAGAACTTGAAAACTCAATGGATTTTAGCACAGAAATGCCTTCTTCCAAAGAAGACTTCATCCAAGAAGCTCTTTCATATCGTTGTTGGGACACACAGCCAACTTCCTTATACCCTAGAAGAGGGAGGGAAAGAATATAATAAGAGAGGTTTTAAGGAAGAGTAAACCTGGTGAAGTAAACCAGTGAAGAGTTACCTCGGAACGTGAGCCTGCTGTCGGCATTATCAGGGCGCAGTGACAGACGGAACTCTGCTCGGCTTGTAAACATGCGGTAGGGTTCGTTGGTGCCCAGTGTGGTGAGGTCATCAATCAAGACTCCTATGTAGCCTTCTGTTCGGCTGACGACAAAAGGAGGCTTCCGTTTGACCCGAAGACTTGCATTGATTCCAGCTATCACACCCTACGAGAGGACTGAAATGTTTAAAAGGCCATTATGAACTGAACAAAGAGCTACCTTAGAATACTACCTGGAAAAAACAGCGTCGGGTATTAAGAAAGCAGGCACTGCCCAGAAGAGAGAGAATAGAGAGAGAAAATGTGATATATACTCAAAAACAAGACAGGTAATGTGCTGCTTTAGAATGCTATGTTTCATTGTTTTCAAAAATATTTAACATTCCTGATAAGCTTTAGGTGGGCTAATATGTTTTTTAAAATCCAGCCATAAAACTCTTCTAGCCTTTTCCCACTTACAAGTAAAAATAACATAACTTCTCACTTAAAAGGAGTATGATAATTTGCAATAAAGTTATGTTGAAAGAACTAAATTTTCTTTTTCAAAACAATTCAGGGGTGCCTGGCTGGCTCAGTCAGTAGAGAATGCAACTCTCGATCTCGGGGTTATTAAGTGTGAGCCCCACTTTGGGTGTAGAGATTACTTAAAAATAAAATCTTAAAAAAAATTTTTCAAAATAGGGATGCCTAGGTGGCTCAGCTGGTTGAGCGTCTTCCTTTGGCTCAGGTTATGATCCCAGGGTCCTGGGATCGAGTCCCACGTCTGGCTCCTTGCTTGGCAAGGAACCTGCTTCTCCCTCTACTTGCCTCTCACCCCTGCTTGTGCTCTTTTTCTCTGGCAAATAAAAAAAAAAAATCTTTTAAAAAATTTCTAAATACAGTAAATCTAATCAAATATGATACCAGACCTAGGAGCTCAGAAAAGAGAATTAAAACCACAAGTGTTTAGCACAGCATAAGGAATACAGTCAATGATACTGTAGTAGGGATGCAACGGGACAGACGGGACAGACAGATAGTAGCTACATTTGTGGTGAACACAGCAGAATGTATAAACTTGTCAAATCACTCAGCTGTACACTTGAAACTAATGTAACATTGTGGGCCAACTACATGCAAATAAAAACATTAAAAACAAAAACAAAACAAAACATAACCCACAGGTGTTTTTTAAATTCTCTTGTATATAGTAGCCATCCCTGTATACCCTGAAATAGAAATAAGTCTTCCATTACAGTTTATGAGTTGTATCTAAGACCTATATAGTTATCACAACAGAAATTAAAAGGAGGAACGCCAGTTCTTTTCCTGCCCTTTTCTGTTTATAGTAACATTTGAACAACCACTTACTTGAGCTGCAGCTTCCTCATAACCAGTAGTGCCATTTATCTGGCCAGCAAAGAACAGCCGTTGCACCAAATGAGTCTCAAGAGAAGGAGTGATCTGACGGGGGTCTAAGTAATCATATTGAACACCATAGCCTGACCAAAGAATAAATGATACAAAATAAGCAAAAACCGAGCTGGATTTGTCTCAAACTAGAGATGCAAAGATTATCATTAAATGCTCTTGAAAAACAAAGAATATTTTAAATGCACAGATGTTGGGCTTTGTCTTCTGAGGCTCTAGGCAACTATAACTGTAGCTAAGACCTCCTCACTGCTAAAGCAATGCTAAGCTCATATGGAAGGGCAGCTGTGATTCTCTTTACCTGGCTGAATCATTTTAGCTTTCTCCAAGCCTTTGATGCATGTGATCATTTTCTCTTGTAATTCAGCTGGTAGTGTCACAGATAACCCTTGAGGGTAGATGAGGTCAGAATCCATTCCTTCAGGTTCCAGCCAAACTTGATGTAGACGGTTTGGAAAACGCAAAACCTTTGATTCAATGGATGGACAGTATCTAAAACAGGACAATGAAATTTAAAAATTTAATGAAGCAAACAAAAGAGGGTTGACAGCATTCCTTAAAGTAATGTTTTGTCCTTACCTGGGTCCTCTTGTAGTTTCCTTAATGTGACTATTAAGGTGAAGGTTCTCAAGGACAATCTCATCCACTCTAGGGTTGGTGTGAGTCAAGTAACATGGCAGCTGATCTTCTGGCTAAAATATAGGAACTACTTATAACAATCTTTGCTTCTTTACTAGTCTGTCTTTTACTCAAATAAATTACACACATGATAAGCACTTACTTTTATAGACATTAAACCTATGCATAATGCTGAGTACTACTAATGAAGTATTCTTGCCAAAAACAACCCAGAAGATGAACCTAATTTAAACAAGACTGTAGATCTACCAGTTTACAAAAAACATAGAAAATGGAAGAAAATATTTAAGGCACCAGAAGGGAGAAATCTAGAATGTGGGAAATCCTAGAAATTCTAGAGAACAGATGACTCAGTTTCTTCCACATATAAATGTCAAAAAGGAAAGAAAAAAAAAAAAAAGGAGGGGAACTGCTGTTATAAGGCATATCATCCAACTCAATGTGTGGCCCTTATTTGGTCCTTATTTTCTGGGTGTGATAATGGTATTGTGGTTGGTTTTTTACAAAGTTCTCATCTGTTAAAGACATATACCAAAGTATTTATAAGTGAAATGATGTGATATTTGGGACTATGGCTTTAAAATTTCACAAGAAGTCGGGATGCCTGGGTGGCTCAGTCGGTTAAGTGTCTGCCTTCAGCTCAGGTCATGATCCCAGGATCCTGGGATCGAGTCCCATATTGGGCCCCCAGCTCAGTGAAGCGCCTGCTTCTCCCTCTGCCTGCCACTCCCCCTGCTTGTGCGCGCTCTCTCTCTCTCTCTGACAAATAAATAAAATCTTAAAAAAAAAAGAAAAACTTCACAAGAAGAAAGTGTTAAGAAAAGATGAAACAGGAATGCCAGAAAATGTTACTTGTTGAAGCTGGGTGATGGACACAGAGATTCATTATGCTACTTTTTTCTACTTTCTATAAACTTGAAATTTTATAATAAACAGTTTAAAAATATACACTCTAAGAAAGTAGCATCACAATTTACATTTTACCAATACAAAAATACAAGAGTGACTTGCTCAAGATCACAGAATATTTGGAGCCACTTATCACGATAACACTCACCAGAAACTAGGACCATCAATTATTAGTCCTCAATTCTAAACACACAATATACCTTTTTTTTTTTTTATAATTCCAAAGGTAGGCAAAAGTAGACTGTACTCTTCAAAAGTACCAGTATCGGGGCGCCTGGGTGGCTCAGATAGTTAAAAGTCTGCCTTTGGCTCAGCATGATCCCAGGGTCCTGGGATAGAGCCCCACATTGGGCTCCCTGCTCAGCGGGAAGCCTGCTTCTCCCTCTCCCTCTGCTGGTGCTCATTCCCTCTCTCTTTCTCTCAAATAAATAGAAATAAAATCTTAAAAAAACAAAAAACAAAAATACCAGTATCATGAAAGACTGAGGAACTGTTCCGTATCAAAGAGAAATGACAATTAAATACTATATTTTTTCCTGGATTGGAAAAAAAAAAAAAAAAGGTTGCTATAAAGAACAATATTGGAACAATCAGCAAAATCTGACTATGAACTATATATTAGATAACAGCACTGTATCAATGTTAAATTCCCCGAATTTCATTACTGCAATGAGGTAATATAAGAGCACGTCTCTGGGTTTAGTTGAAATCCATACTCAAATATTTAAAAGTAAAGGGTCATGGTCTCTACAACTTACTCTCAAATGTTCTGGAAAAAGAAAAGAATAAGGACAAATGTCTATATTACTGTTTTATAGATTAAATATATACATATATCTCTATATTTCTATGTAGAGAGATAAATATAGTAAAATATTAACAGTGGGTGAATTTCAATGGTTTACAAGAGTTTGTTTTAATGGTCTTGCAGTATTTATGTATGTCTGCAATTGTTTCAAAAAAGTTTAAATTGGCAAGATTACTGAAGTAACAAAACTTAAGAACTTATGGGGAAACACCCAATTAGCCAAATTAGCTAATCCTGTTAAATATCACTTTTTTGCACCCTAAGTAGTAGGAATGTAAGGTGAATTGTGAAGGAATGAAGGGAGGAAGGGCAGAAGAGAGAAAGAAGGAAGGAAAGAAGGAAGAGGGAGGAAAGGAAGAGAGGAAGAGAGGGATGGAGGGAGAGTTAGGCTATATGCTGCTGTGAATAGCCACCATCAACTGTAAAGTTAAGTTTTCATAAATTATCTTACCTTAATCCACACTGTCTCATTGATAAAACTGAATGGTATGGATGGATTATCTGGTGTCTGCTTGTTTAGAATGCTGAAATTAACCGACTCTTTGGCAATTCGGGGTGGAGTCCCAGTCTTCAATCTTCCCACCACAAACCCCAACTTCTCCAGAGTCTGAGCCAACCCAATGGAAGGCTGATCCCCTAAACGCCCTGCCGGATGTGTCTCCAGTCCAATTACAATCACGCCTCTCAGGAACGTCCCAGTAGTCAGAACCACACTCTCTGCATGTACTGTGCTTCCATCCGCTAAAGGATAAGAAAGAGTAAAAATTGTGACCTGTTACCATGGATCTAATTGAAATGTGACCATTTTACATTAGAACTACAGAGAAAATTTGTCTTCAGAAACTTGAGAAAGAATTTTAAATAAGTTAGAAGACTGTATGTTATTAATACCAAGAATCCAAGACTGCTGGGAGAGAGAACACAGTAACATATAAAAACTAATTCACATGTTCCTAAAATCATGTCAGTACTGAAAAGGTAGTCTCAGTTAATTTTTAAAATTAATTTTAGACTCCTGGTTAAATATGACAGACTACCTCACATGATCTCTTTTCTTTTTTAAAGATTTTATTTATTTAACAGAGAGAGACACACAGCAAGAGAAGGAACACCAGCAGGGGGAGTGGGAGAGGGAGAAGCAGGCTTCCCACTGAGCAGGAAGCCCAATGTGGGGCTCGATCCCAGCACTCTGGTATCATGACCTGAGCTGAAGGCAGACACTTAACGACTGAGCCACCCAGGCGCCCCCCTCACATGATTTCTTCTCCCTCCTAAAACTCCAAGAAGATGAAATAAAGGGGCAAAAAAAGGTATAAACCCAAAAGGACAAGTAATGGGAGAGAACTTGTCAAAAGATGAGGACTCTCAAAATATTTTCAGAAGACAGAAAGCAGATGGAAGAGCAATAACTGATCCAGCAGAGGGGAGAAGGATGTAACTCAAGAATATGAGGAGAATGTACCAATGAGAATGAAATAACTTGCCCTCAAAGCCTGCAAACTGGAGAACTGAGAATGAGAACTGAGGAATGTAGGAACAAAGGTTGGGGCTGAAAACGAGAGAAATAGTTAAGTCTATATATAAAGGTTTTGTGTGTAGACAGACCTATCTTATAGGAAAATGTTAGGCTTAATCTTTGGGTAATGGGGAGTTACTGTTTAGTGGGTAGAGTTTCAGTTTAGGATGATCAAGTAGTTCTGGAAATGGGTGGTGGTAACAGCTGCACAACATTGTGAATGTACCTAATGGTATTGAATTGTACACTTAAAAATGGCAAAAAATGGCAAAATTTTTTTTTAAAGATTTTATTTATTTGAGAGAGAGAGACACAGTGAGACAGGGAACAG